GCGCGGACGGTGTGGGGCCAGGGCCGCGCGAAGGCGGCGCGGTGGGCACCTTTCTCGGTCTCCCGCACCCCGAGGCGGACGTGGGCGCTGTGGTTGTTGCCGGGCAAATGAAAGGGCGTGAGGCCAAGCGCAGCCATTCCTGCCCCGTCCGCACGCCCGGCCCCGCACGCCCACGTGCCCGAGAAACGGGACAGTGGGGGGCAGGCTGGGCCTGCCCGGTGGGGCCACCTCCTGAATCATGACTGCAGGCCACGGCCAGCAGGGATCACCGCGCACGGTGGCGCACGGGTGGGGACGGAGCCGCCCCCGGGGCGGAGACGCGTCGCGCGGGAGCCGTCGCGTCGCACCTGGGGCCGGTCGCCCGCAGCCCCAGGCGGCAGAGCCCCGCGCTTAGCCCCGCCCCACTTCCCATCAGCCTCTGGTGGGCGGGGCCTCCTCGCTCCGCCCCGTGACGTCATCTACTCTGAGCGACCACCCCCGGAGGGAGGCGGCCCGTCGCTGTGCTCTGAACCCGCGCCCGTGAACCGGGGCTCAGCCGAGCAGATGCCAGGAAGTGACCCCCGAAGTCCGTCCTGAACCGGCATCTCAGCAGGCGGAGGAGGGGCTCCCCGGACACCCCAACCTGCTCGCGCCGAGTAGGCCGTCATCGCTGCATCAAAGACGGGTTACGAGTGCCAAGTCCTTCACTAGGAAAAGACTTGAGTACGTTGGTGCGCAGTAAGGCTCAGAGTATCGTTTAAGGTAACTTCCGATGAGAACCCCGACATTACCCATTCCGGCGTGGTAAGTGCCCAGCCAAACAGGGCTGCCCAAAGCGGGATCCCTGAGGCCCCAAAGCCTGCCACAGAGCTAAGGCCCCTTCGGGGGGGCGCATAGGAAAGGGGGGGAAGAGGCCAAGCGAGTCCTGACGGAAATGAGCCAAAGCAAAATCCAGATCCAGGCGGCCACTGCTGGCCTCCCCACGGGCCTCTCCCCCACATCTGTGTTAGCCGATGTCCCCCAGGCCCCCCAAGATCCTGGTGCAAGTATTAGGTTGAGAAGCAGGTGCTGCTTCCCCTTCACCTGCCCCTGCGCCCCACATGCCTCCCCTAGCTGTGTGATTCCCTGTCCTTCTCCCAGTCTTTTCTTCCTCCTGCTCGGCCCCACCCTTCCTTGAGTGGGGCCGGGAGCCTGGGGCCTCCCCTTTTCTGGCATCACCAGTCACCATCCCAGTGGCCGGAGCTTTGTGTGAGGCTCTGTGGTGCTCTGCAGCAGGATGGAGCCAGGAGACCTGAGGGGGCGGCGCTTGTTCCTCAGCCCTGGACTGGGGGACAGTTATGGGGGAGACGTGTGTGGCTGTGACAATGGCAGCTTACCTTGATTTTGATGTTGCTCTTTTCAGCCTCGTCTGTTTCTGACCCTTTTCCATGGGTCCCCACTGAAAGGTGCGGTGGTTTGATCTAGAAACTATATTGTCTTGTCTGTATTGCACTTTGTATTAAAGTTCCTTTCCATGATGTTTTGTCTTGATGTGGCAGATGGTAGAACCTATTTATAACGGGTAGGATTCGGGGTTCCCCCTGCCCTGTAATGTGCTGTCTCCGTGCCTCTTTCCAACCTGAACAGCTACAGAAGTGGCTGTTTGCCTGTGTTGTCTCGGGGCACAGACCCCCATCTCTAGGCTCACCTGGTTCTTGAAGTTGGCCTACTGCAATAAGGGCCTTAAATTTTACCATTTACGTAGCTGGAGACGGAACACACGTACTGACAAAATAACTCGCGTACTAAGGAGCTTCTGGTGGCTGAAGAGGCCCTTCCACCACCCTGATACGCGAATCCTGAACAAGAGTCCCAGTGCCCTGAAGTGATTTCCCTTTCCATTATGAATAAGCATTGGCCCCTGCAAATCCTGGTGTTCAACCTTAATCCCAATGTAACATCAACAGACGAGGCCTCAGAGAGGTGACTACGTCACGCGGGTGGACCCCACTGCAACCTCCTAAAAAAATGGCTACGAGCCCCCTGCCTGCTTGGACCGGGGGAGCAAGGGAGTTGGACACACTCAGGGCGTGACTCCTCCGAGACGCAGCAGGTAGGGGCTCAAGCCATCCACTCCCCGAGCTTCGACCTTGGACTTCAGCCTCCACACCAGCACACCCTGTGGCGGGCGCTGGCTCCGACCATGACCTCCACCCCCAGGGGAGTGTCAGGGTCTCTCCCTGGTGTCGAGAAGAGGGCCTGGCACAGGCTGCAGCCCGCTGCTCTCCTCCAGACTGGCTCTTCCTCTTCTCCCCCTTCACTCCTGCCAAGGCACCAACCAGGTGCCAACAGTGGAGGGTGGAGGGTGGAGTCACCAAAGTGCATCAGCTTTGAGGCTGTGAAGGAGCTTGAGCAAGGCCCTGGGCAACACAAAGCGCCGGAGGTCAGGCAGACGCGGTAGCTTCCAGCCAAACCTGAGGGAGGAACTGCCTGGCGCTCGCCTCTCAGGGCCCAGCATGAGCGTTTCGCTTTCCTGGTTGTTCCTTCATTTCCCCATTCCACACACAAAGGTTTATAAACTCATTTATTTCCTCCATTAGATAAATCTAGGCTTCCCCTAGTTAATTTATTTGATACAGTGGAGGAACGGGTGTGACTGGGTTTGCCAAATGTTACCTCGGGATCAACATAGGATTTTATGGGATGACAGCAGTTTTGGTCAGATGCAGCTTTTAAACCATTCTGCGTTTACACTCCCTACACTGAATGCCGAGGAAGCTGGGGTGCGTGCTTTTCCACAAAGCACATCTTTGCCCACCTACTGGCTTCCTGGGACATAAAACATGACACAGGTGAACCCTGAAGGCACAACCACGTTCACTGCGTTCATAAAGCTCCCCTCGTGTGCCAGCCCGCTGTGGCGTCCTGAGGGGGCCACTCTAGCCACAGGCTGGCCCACGAGGACCACACCCTTGTCTGCCAGGAGTCCCACGGTGCTTACTGTCGTCTCAGGGGTCACAGCAGCCACCGGCAGCATCACGGAATCAGCAAGGCTTTTCTTTGTCAAGGGGACGCTGGGCAGCAGGGTCTGCCCCCTGGCCGGCCTCTCCCCGTTTCTCCCTGGCGTGTGCTCTCTGATGCTTCAGCAGGAAAGACCTGTAGGTGAAGGCTTTGCCACACTCGCTGCAGGCGTAGGGTCTCTCCCCCAGGTGCGTTCTCCGATGGCTCACGAGATCTCGTTTCACGCAGAAGGTTTTGCCACACTCCTCGCACACGTGTGGCTTCTCGCCTCTGCTGCCCCGCTGGTGTGTGATGAGGTCTGGCTTCTTGACGAAGCCCTTTCCACACCGCGTGCACGTAAACGGCTTCTCGCCTGTATGAACGCGCATGTGCACCAGGCAGCTGCCCTTGTGCACGAAGCCCTTGCCACAGCCGCCGCACACGAAGGGCTTCTCCCCCGCGTGTGTGCGCATGTGCACCAGGCAGCTGCCCTTGTGGACGAAGCTCTTGCCACAGCCGCCACACACAAAAGGTTTCTCCCCGCTGTGGATTTTCTGATGGACACTGAGGTGGGACTTCCTGAAAAAAGCTTTGCTGCAGTCAGTGCATTCGTAAGGCTTCTCCCCGGTGTGGGTCCTCTGGTGTTCGATGAGCAGGAACTTTCTGGAGAAGACCTTGCCACACTCCCTGCACACATGACATTTCTTTACTTTTTTACTTTTCTGATGCTTGAAGAATTGTGACTTAGTGAGGAAGAGTTTCCGGTTCTCAGGGAGGTTCATTTCAGGCTGACGCTGTTCTTGGCCAGCGTGGAGGTAGGAGGCCTTTACTTCACAGCTTCTGCTCTGAGTAACTGAGGTGAAACCCGAGCCCGCGCCTGTCCTGTGTGAGCCGAGCAGGCCGGGATGCTCCCCTGACGCGCGGTGGTCCGAGCTGGGCTGCGCAGTACCTGCCCCCGCGCGGTGCGCACGGCCCAGTCCCAGGCTGCTCTCCGCGCTCCCCTGCTGTAAGGGCACCTGCGTGTGAGCTTCCATTTCTGAGTTTCCTAGAAAGAACGGCACAACGAAAGCTTACCTCACCCTGACTTGACACACAGGTATCTTTATTTTATTTACTATAGAACAGATATTCATTTATGCACGCAAGAACTGGGGTACAGGCCAGAGGTGTGCGGGGTGAGAGGATTCGCCAGACAGTGCGGGGAGTAGAACGGGCAGATAAGCCAAATCCAGTGCGGAGGGGAGCAGCGGGGAGGCAGGAGAGGTCTGCTGTGCCCTGTGGGTCGCTCCCTGGCCGGGACTCGAACTCAGGCCACAGTGGCTACGGACAGCTTTAGTACAGACCTTGAACCCCTCGCCCCAGGGAAAAGGCAGACACAGAACGAGGGGGTGCCGCCGGTGGTGAAACCCAGCTGGAAGGAGCACTGGGGCGCAGGGAGGTAGAGGACACGGGGCCACATCTGGAGGAAGCTGGACGCCCACTGGCTTCGCCCCACCCTGCTGACTGGGTGCGCAGCGCGTCTCCCCACGTGTCAGCTGCTTTTCAGAAGACTCACTTTGCCCCTCTTTCCAATGACAGCACCCAGCCTCCCTGCAGGCTGGCTCAGCACTGTTACCCGTCAGGCTGTGCAACACGAATGGCTAAGATCGAATAATAACAAACAAGTTAGAGAGGAATGAATCCAGTCACGTGACAGAAAACAGGGAGTTTAGAGAAGAAAGACCACACATGAGCAGAGGTTGCCACAGTTCTGGGTACTGAAAGCATCCCCTAGCTTGACATACAATTATCTTCACCGGGATCAACGTCAAGATACCGCTGCGGGAAAAGCAGCCCTCAGGGAGAAGACACCCACACCTTCTGGGAAAGAGGCCAGACGCAGAAAGGCAGAGGAACCTCCTTGAAGGCAGCTCTGGTAGGGTGGAGCCTGAAACAGGGTTCACGACGTCAAAATGGCTGCTGTGAAGCCAAACGAATCACGACAGCAGATACCAGTGCGGAAGCGCGGGCACTTGCGGCAACCTGCTCCAGGCAACGTGCTCGAGCAACGGGCAGGTGCAGCCTGTGGGTCACATGGCAGGAAGAAGCCACATGGCAGGAAGCTCGGCAGCGAGACCGCGCCAGGTCCCTGCAGAAACTGGGGCCCAAGAGTTGCTACCGATGCAAAGAAATCTGCCGAGTCTGTCAGACGACCGGGATTCGGCAGCAGGAGCCAGTTTAGCGCCTCAGAGAAAACCTGGGATGCTGAACACATCAGACAAGGAAATGGAAAATCCGACAGGGAGCGCAAGACAGAGCAGCAGTCATGGGGACCCCAGCTGCCCGTGGCTCTGCGAAGGTGGCGGGTGGCGGGAACAGGGGTTGCGTCACCCTGACGCAGGAGATGATGGGAAAAACCCAGCCGGCACGCAGGGAACGCCCAAAGCCTGCCAGCAGGGAAAGGCTTGCCGGCGAGGGAGAAAGAACTGCACACAACCCGGGAGACAGAGGGCGCAGACCTGGATGGAATTCCGTCCCTGTCTCCATGAAGAAAAGGCCTGCGTGGGGAGACGCAGGGGGCGCTGGCTGTACAGGGGTCACAGGGGCAGCCACTCGCAGCGAGGCGAGATTTCTAGACTGTACCCCCCGGTGGGGAGGGGAGCTGGTGGGAAAAGGGTAGAGAGGACTTTGGCAGTTGACGGGCTGACCAGAGGGGGTCTGAGGAGAAGCCAGCAGCTGGCCACTGGCTCAGGCCTGAACCTGAGCCTTGTGCTCAGCTCGCTCTTGCTCAGTCCTGTAAAATGAATCCTGTTTTTGTGGTGTCACATGTGTGCGTGCGTGACAGACACTTAGCCTGTGTGAGGAGCCGCCAACCACATTAACCTGGTGCACCCCAGCCCCCACTCGCTCTCCTGACACCTGCTGAACTGCTGTCTCTAAGCCCAGGGGCGTGGTCTCCACAGCCTCCCGATCTGCTTCCTTCACTCACCTGAGCACCCGTGAAGGTGCATCCCCGTGTCCATCTGCCCCGGATGTCCTTCCCCTCCCACCCTGCAGAGCCACTCCGGTGGGTGGGCTCCGACACCTGGTCTCAGACACAACAGAGACACACTCAGGCAGGGCAGGGGGCGTGTGGGGACCCCACATGTGACAAGTGAGGACAAAACAAGACTGACAACTGGCTACAGGCCTCTCCCTCTGCTGTCAAGCCCCAGCACTGCTCCTGGACGACCCCATCCGGGCCTGGCCCGAACCTGTGCCAGTGGGCTTTCCACACGGGCACCAGCTCTGTGACATCAGGGCACACGGACACTGTGTCCCGCACTGTCCCCCTGTTTTCACAAGCACCCGCCGCAACAGCATCAGTGACACAGGGCGGTTCACCCCCAAGACCTCCTACCTCTCCCCAGCACAGACGCTAACAGCCCGGCGGCTCTATCCTCAGCTTCTGACTGACCACAGGCCCCAGGCCATGGTCTCAGGCAGTCACCAGCTGAGAGGGGCTCACAGACTCGGGGACACACCTGACCAGCAGTGACAGGCCTGTGAGGAAAGGCACAACAGGCGCCAACTTGCCTGCTGAAGGGAGCTACTGCAGGAGACGGAGCCCCTGCCCGCCAGAGGGGGGCGCTCCAGCCACCTCCATGCAGATGGGGATCTTAGACCCCCCAAGTGGGGCCTGTCTGGCAGGTGAATTGCTGACCCTATGGCATGACCTGCTGGGGCGGCCTCAGTGCAAGCGCTGTGAGGAGGCGGCTCTGGGGAGAGCCACCTGTCCCGGGGGACCCAGGTCTCTGGTCAACAGACACTGGGTGGACAGTGGCGTCTGCTGCGGGCAAGCCTGTGCTGCCACATCCCTCACCCCAGGGGAGCAGCCTGCTTCACACCGGGTCTGCTCTGCGGGTATATCCTGCAGCAGCAAGACGTGCGTGAGGACTCCCCAACCGGGGCAAGCCCAAACCCCCATATTCATGCTGATTCACTACAAGATGCGTGTAAGGGGCACAGGGTGTCCTTGCCGACTGGACACGCTGCTCTAGCAGCAGCTGTCAGGCTTCCCCAATTCCGGGGCTCCCCAATCCTGATCTTTCAGTGTTCTGGAGGCTTCACTAAGCATCCCAGATCTAGGAAATCACTTTTGCATGACCAGGGCGC